TGGGGAGTTCTGGGAGTTGAAGTCCACACATCTTCAAGTTGCCAAGGTTGAGAAACACTGATCTAGCTAATATCTTTCTTGCAACCTCTTGGTTCTGTTGGATGAAGAAGAAAAGTATGCAGCACTCTGATCTCCCAAAACTGCTTGGGCGGCAAACAGAGCATCTGTCTCAACACCTTAAATCAGTGGCATCTTTTCCCAAGATGGCAACGGGTGCTACATCCGGCCCCCAAGCACCTTCTGGAGACCGGATCCAAACCATGGCACAACCGTAATACAGAACGTTGGACCGAGACCCAGCAGCTTGCTGAGGTCCTCACTGTTGCTATATTGGTCCTCAAGGTACTTTCCAAACAACCAATCTTCTTCGTGTCAGAAAGCCCTGGACTGGGAGACAGCTTGTTTTAGGATTCTCTTTCTGACCTGCAAGATGATATTTGTTCACTTGGCTTGATTTTGGCCTCTCTTCACAAAACTCTACCTGCCCATCTCTGGATGTCCCTGTTGGAAGCCAAATCAAGCAGCTACTTCCAACTGAACGGTCTGCTCTTTCGGTTAGGCGCCTCCGTGCTTCGGTTCCTCTTTGCCTTGGTGGCTTCAGTTCCTTGTCCTCGGCCTTTAGCTCCCCTGCCTGTTAAAGGCTGTTCTCGGTGGTTTTGTTCCCTTCTTTGTTCCCTGAGCCTTTGGAAAGCTGCCCTGGCTTTGTGAAACTGCGCTGACTTCGGAGAGCCTTCAGAAAGGCAGCACAGCTTTCCGTGTAGGAAAAGTTCGCCGGAGAAGCTGGGTCCGAAAAGGAGACAGCAAAGACAGCAAGGCGCTTCTGCTTCGGCCACGGCGGCTGGGCACAAAAGGCGAAAGGTCGGTGCAGGGAACGGGGAGAGAAGGCAACAGGGCAAACAAATGCTTCCTGGGGCAGCTGTCGTGCGGCTTCGCACAGCTGGGCTGGGGCAGCTGCAGCTTCATGCTGTGCTGCAGGTCAGGGGCTTCTTGCAGCCCCACAGCCGTGCGATTCTGGGGCTGCTTGCTGCCCCACAAGGCAGGGTGCAGTGCTGCCAAAAGGGCAGAAATGGGGGGGAGATAGGCGGGTGGGGGGAGTTGGAGACAGTCCCTTACCTTACTGAGGCTCCCCTTACTGGAGGGACCAGGCCCAGAAGGGTTTGGATTGGGGTGGGTCCTCGACTAATGACCATCAGAATTCGCTTAACGACTGCAGCGGGGACTGCCACTAAGCGATGTGGGCATGTGATGTCTCGCTTTACGACCCATTGCTTAGCAATGGAAATTCTGGTCCCACTTGTGGTCGCAAGTTGAGGACTACTTCTATTTTACCAAATCTGAGAACTATCAAATGTCAGTCAGAGTTCAGACATTACAATAACTCAATTTTTTTTAGAATTCTGCTGCCAGCAAGTATTCTCAGCTTATAATTCCACCTTCTTAAGAAAGGAACAAGCCAGCAGGTGGCCTTGTCAGGATGTAACGCTACGCAAACTCTGGAGGGGAGATTCCTGGTTTGTTTTGGCATCTTCTCCTGACAAGAAGGGCCAACTAGGAGCAGCCACCGAGCAAGCATTGGTGTGTTTGCTCAGGCATAACGTGTTGCTTTGTGGAGGAAACAACTTCTTCCTCAAAAACTCTTTCATAGTTAGTCAACTAGAAAAGACTCACGAAAGATTATTTTTGTGCAATGAGACCATTACGTGCACAAAGATGGAAAGACTCTGAAATGCCCACAATGGAGGAACGGTTGGGGAAGATGACAATTAGAGATGGCAAAATTGACTTGTTTGATTAGGGAGAAGTCAATAAGTACATTTGTTAGTGACTGGAAACCCTGTGTGGACTTTTTGCTGAAAATGGGAAAAAAATGAACTTATGATTTATGGATCTGATGATCAGAAAGGATAAAATGTGGGAAGAAGGGAATTATGATTCCCTCATCTGTCCTTAAAGAGGGAGGACAGATAATAAATTTATTTGTAGCTGCTGTAAAGAAGATCGGAAACCACTTCTTTATACTTTTTTCTTTTTTTCTTTTTCTTTCTTGATCTATTCACCATTTTTCTTTACTTTTTTTCTCTTTCTTAGATTTGTACTGCTTTTATTATTGTGTAACAGTCGTCAATAAAAATTGATTTAAAAATCCCTCTTTAATAGTTTGGAAAAAACCCTCTTTCTCCAGAAGAGCTCATTTTAGTAAGCTGCCTGTCCTGTTCCAAAGTTTCTGTGCCCATTTCAGCCACTTCTTCGCCTGTTTGTAGGAGTCAGATCTCTACAAATAAGCCAGCGGGTCACGATACGGTCTCTCCTCAGACAGAAATGAGGCCAGGAATAGAGCAGTGCCCCTCGACCTGGCCATGATCATAAACAAGGCACAACGAGCATCTGTTAGAAGAGACCTTGGGTGACCTATGCGCATATTAGAACAATAAGTTTTGCTACGCCTAAAACACATGACTTTTGCCACTTAACTTCATTTTCTGAAATCATTTTCTGGGTCCATACAAAGCCCTTAATTCTAAACGAATTCAGTGAGCTCTGTTCAAGCAACATGTTATGCCACAAAAAACAAACCAAGGTTAAAGCTAAACAAGCTTACCGGGTTGTGTGAATGCAACCACTCATCCTTTGACTGAATACTTAAGCGTATTGTCAGAACTGAGCTGAAGGCGGCAACTGTGTGCCTCTTTTAGACCTCTCTTTTCAAGACTACAGTAATTGTACCCAGTTCCCCCATCTCACCTCACTGGGCCCCCTCCTCAGATGAATACAGTACACACAATGTTAATACACACCTACAACAGAATGAGCTTTATTTCTCTTCCACTCAGATCCACAAATCCTATTTTAGAACTGACCTATTAAGGACTTCTCTTAATTAGCAATGTACTGAAGTCTTGAGAAAGATGAAGAGAAGATTAAATTTTGGATCTGATCAAAGTCCTATACAGTCCAGGATTCTGTTTCTAGAAAAAACCAACAAATATCTACTGTGTAAAGACCACAAGCAAGAAGTTTTTCTTAACACTTAGCTGGATGGGGCCTTCTTTAGCTTAACACTTTTAGTCTGTGCCCTGTCTTCCGGACAAGAGCCACAGGTGTCAACCTTCTTCTGTTTGACATCCCTTTAGGTACCTGAAGAAGGACACCAGAGCTGTAGGACACCAGAAGACAAAGGCATTTTGTGTTCACTGGACACGATCAAAAAAAGCAAAATCTGTCTACCCCCCTGGAAAAGAAGGAATCACCTAGATAGGACTTTGCCTCAGCTCTCCACATCTCTAGACTCAGCTCCAGTGCTGACCCATTTGGTGATGGCATCACCTACCTGTAAGAATTAAGACTTTCAGCACAAGTTAGAAAGAGCTGGGCAATTCTTTGGGTCTTACCTCTGTCCATTTGCCATTGATTTCCATAAATAAGACACAAAAAGGATCTGATTTAGAGGTCACATCTCTATCCAAAAGATTTTGACCACACACGGACAGTTCAACTCTGCAAACACAATCCTGGGTTCCCCCCGGCACAGAAGGGGTGGGGCTGATTGTGTAGGCCATTGGATCAGGCAGAAGCAGCTCTTGACAATCTGCAGGAGAGAAAGAGGGATGTTAGCAAAAAGGGATGGAAGTAAAAGAAGTAAAATAAGCTCACTTACTCACTACTTTCTGATATTTGCCTCCTCCCTTCCAAGTATTATCTTACTTGGCCTTTGGACCATTCTCCTCTGTAATAAATTATCTGAAATACCTACATCTTTTGAAGAACAAGATCTTCAAACCAGAGGAGGATGAACTTCTGTCATCCATGGATGGAGCTAGATGTTTGGGGGTTTCTTAGCCTCCAGTCATCAAATATTATTACTCAGTTAGTTTTCTACATTTTACCTAATACCAAAGTGGGCAACCTACAGCTGCAGTTCTGTGTCCTGATTTTTTTTCTTTCTCCCCAAACCATTTCACCTCTCACACAGGTAGTAGAAGAATTTTTAAGAAATGGAAAGCTTTTTTATGAACTTGAGATCTATTGCCACGTGCCTAATGACCAAACAAGAGACTTTTTAGTATACACAAGGAGACTCCAAGTACTGTTATATTGTTCTTTATCCCTTATTTCCCCCCGGGATCTTATTCCCTGCTGAGAAGTATGGATGTCTTTTCTACCAGTTTATGGTCACATTCATTTCTAGTGTCAAAGTGGATAACAACGAGGGAATTTAGGAAGAAGAGTGACCATCATCACCCTCCAGCGTCTGCCATCCAGGATAGCTATCTCATTCTACCTAATGGCAGTTCTGCAAGGAAGGACGTGCTCCAAACAATGGTTGAGCGATCTGGACAGGTTACCAGTCCAAAGGCTGAAGCCAGCCTGTTTTCTGGAGTATACCTCTATCTCCAGACTGAAGACATCTTCTCAGAACTGCCATGCCCTCCAGCTTAAAATCATAAACAACTCTTTTATATTCAACAGGCCACCCTTGACTCCATACGGCTGAACCTTAAAAACCAATATACATTTCTTTCTTGTTCACAAGCAGCCTGAGCATCCATAAAAAGGCAAGTTTTCACAAAGAGTAGCTGCTGACTGCTACAATCTTCATCCTATTAAAGCTCAACCGTTTATCCCAGCTCTCCACTCTCAGGTCTGCTACATCTTCATCATTCTGCCCACTGAGGTGAAATAATCCAATAAGGCAGAACCTCCTTGGCTAGTCACAGGATAGATTTAAGAGTACTGAAATTTCAGCATTTATGTTCTCCTTAGCTATATTATCCCCAGTATTCAGAATTATTCCAGTCACCAAGAATTAAGGATCTTTCATATACTAGGGTAACCATTGTCCTACATCGGAAGGATAAAACTAGCTTTGATGTGCGGACCTTTTTTGACAAAGGATCAGTGATGAAGATTTTTGAGCAATTTGGTCAAATTTTATAGAGTTGCTTTGTTAGTTGCCTGGTTGTTAAGTTTGCAGCACTAGGAAGGTGTGATCTTAGAGGATGGTGTGATGCAATTAACTTTACCCCCATTGTGATGTTATTTTTTTTAGTGGCTTGCCATAGGAACTAATTGCACAATCTTACACATCTCCAATTATTTCTGCCCACCTGGTATGTTAGGAGAGAACAAGTACGCACGTTTCAGGTCCCTGTTGGACTGAGGAAGGGGGCCTTCTCTGTCATGGCTTCTGCCCTATGGAACAGCCTCCCCCCAGAGATACGGACAGCACCCACTCTCCTGGGGTTCTGGAAAGCCTTACAACCTGGTTCTGGTCCTAGGCCTGGGGATCATGTTAGTGGAGCCCTATCATGGTTTATTGTTACTGTTAATGGCTGTTTTTTGTCTGGGCTGTCCATTTCATTTTACTGGTTATAAATGTTTTAATGGCTTATTTAGATACTTTCAACATCAGCCGCCCAGAGTCTACTGAAGTAGACAATGTTGGAGAAAAATCTTCAAGAGGGAACTTCTGAATTTCCATCCCATTTGTGACTTACAAGTTTTCTCTCCCTTGTCAAGATGAGGTCCGTTTTGTCTACTCAAGCAGGAGCCTAGAGTAATTCAACCTCCAAACCCTTTATGATGGATTTGCAAAGCCAGGTCAAGCACGCATGGATGTGTTCAGCAACACTCCATGGGCAAGACCCCACCACCCAGGAAACAGGGTGTATTTATAATCAAACAACAAGGAAATGCACAATTATCAATATGGTTTGTTACAAATTAATTATTAAAAGACAACATTTAAAATAGCCTTGAATTGCTGTGCTGTACCTGCTAAAGGTACCTGCTCAATGTCCCAACATAGCTTCAACAGATGAATTTCCTTCTGAAGCCTAACCACAAGAGAAACTGTTCTTACACACCTACTTGCTTCTAGTGCTTGCTAGATATTTGCTGCTACAGTTTAAACTCTGACTACGCCCAGGAGCTCCACGCTAAAACATTTATTAATATTCAAATTGCTTCATTTCTTCCACAGTGGCCATAACAAATTTAAATTAATCATCATCATTATCTTTACTCAAAAGCAAGCCCCGTCATATTCAGGAGGTCTTGTTCACCAATAAGTGTATTTATGACTACAGTCTTAAGATCACGGCATCTGAGTTTGAAAAAATTCACAGTGCCAAGGGCTCATCTGGACCTTTGGAATCCAACTCCACATTTTTCCATGTGGAAGGGCATTTTGGTTTTGTTAAGAAGCAAACGCTAACTTGAAAGTTAAAGTTACATAATGGAAAATGTGTTGATGTCACCGACCACACACTTAACCCTTATCCACTTCCCCCCAAGGGAGATAAACCTAGAAGGCTGTGTTTTCACAGGCTCATTAAAGACTAAAATTCCAGACGGGTATGAAGTTACTTCTACCTAGCCTTAAAAAAAATTAAATTACACTTTCCATGCAACTAAACCTTAAAATAAGCAGGCTTATTCTATTTATATCACCTTGTTTCTTTTTCCACACCAAAGACAAATTCAGAAACAGCTGTGTTGGCACAAGCTCTTATCTTTCAGAGGGGCAGAAAGGGTGGTTTAGGTTTACAGGCAAATCCGTGTGCGTGTGTGTACGGAGTGTACACGGGTGTATGAACTGCTTCTGCCCCAACCACCTGCCTTCCAGATGTGCTGGCCTGCAACGCCCATCACCCCCAGCATGCAACCATCTTGCATGTATTAAAGCTTGGCAGCTGCATTTTCACAACATGCTAAACTGCCTTAGTTTTAATCTGAGTTTTCTTTATTCTGACAGCTTAGCATGCTGTGCAAATACAGCCACGTTGGCCACTTTATGGTCCTGTGCAATTTACAACACCAGAAAATGGGTTAATCCAATAACCAGGTTAAACTTGTTGAAAGAACCCAACCTCTGAATCCGCAGATGTCCTGAAACACCATGCTTGGTGTAGCCAAGATGGAAACCTAGTTACTCTTTGTAAATCAAGGGCAGTCTTCCCCTGACCACAAACTATGCTTTGATATGCATGTGCAATTCACATAAAAAGTAGGCAGAGCTTCAATACACTGTTGCAGGCACCATCTTGATTTTTTCAACCATACCTTGTGGACACACCAGCCATGTTCTTGGAAAGGTGGTGTACATGTACTACTAGAACCCTTTCTGCAGCCCCAGAAGTAAGTGGGAGCAAACTATTCTAGCTTGGGAGACTTTAAGAGGCCAAACAGATGCCATAACCCTTATAGAGGTTTGAGATACTCATTTAACTTAGTATTTTAACATATACAGTTGAAGCGTAACTCCCACTGGTGAGAAAGCCACTGGTGAGAAAGTATGAACCAAGTCTTAGTCTGATGAGCAAATAACAACATGTAAGGAATCTTGCCTCCTACCCCAAGGTAACATAGGTGGTAGTGGGGCAGGGAACAGAAGTCCAAGTATTGCAGACAATTTGACCTGGCTGGGAGAAGAACGTCTTCCATCATCTCACCTATCAGCCCATATTTGCCTAAGATGATCTACAACGTGCCCCAAGAGTTCCTGCCAAACTTGAACACAACTCCCATCATTTCTACCCCATGAATACTTCCTCAAATGAATGAAGACTGGAGATCAGTATTTTGAAGGCCCCATGTTACACAACCAAACACGCCCAGAGAATTTTTGTTTCCTTGACAGATTCTTGAAAACCATTTAACTCATCACAGGAGCCTGAGAAATAATGATAAAACAGTGGTTTTTCGAGCCCTGAGTCATCCAACAATTATGTATTCCACAACACAAACAACTTTTATTCATAAAACACCTTCTCCCCACCAGGGTGTGTTCCAACCGCAATCTGAATAAACAAGTGAACATTCACAACAGTTCCAAATGAATTGTGTGGATCACAGCAACTCAGGCTAATCCCCACATTCCAACTTTGGTGGCAACTCCAGCAGATGCTCCATGTGCCCCAAACATTGGCATATGCATCAACTTACTTCTAGTTATTTGATGGAGGTCATGTATAGTTGATGTCCAGAAAACAGAGTTTTGGTGGCAGCTTAATCTGTTTGTGCCTTGCAGCAAAAACAGGAAGAATTATGCTTATTCCCTAGCCAGAGAGTTGGGTGAGAAATCCAGAAAGACAAGCAAAGTTTCTTGTGCTGGCTTACTGCTCCCATGGCAAGGAGAATATATGGACTGTGGTTGGATAATCAAGTTACTGCTCCCCAGGGTGAACTTTGATTCTGATGAGCTGGTAAAAGATGATCAAGGTTGACCATGTCAAACACAGAGTCGCTGTCTTGGCAGGATACCCTACCACCACGAAGGAAGTAGATTCCATCTGCCATTTTTTTTCCTGAACTATTTGGAAAAACAAAAGCAAAATCTATGTTGATCCAATTGAAGTTGGTACCTTGGCAGACAGATTGAAGAAGCCTGAGCTGCTCCCACCTTTTCCTGTCCTTGTTTCACTCCCTCTCAGGTGGTCAGAGAGGGGAGGGGAGGGGAGGGGGGAAGGGAAGGGAAGGGAAGGGAAGGGAAGGGAAGGGAAGGGAAGGGAAGACATAGAATAAATATTAAAAATCAGTCATGGTATAGAAAATATGGAAGAAAATAGAAATAGTTTTTCTC